GGTCTACTTTTATAAGCAAATGCTATCCAATTTCAAGGAACAATCTCCATTTTGTGACAGAGTCTTGCTCTGTCACCCAGGCTACAGTGCAGTGCATGACCTCGGCTCACTGCAACCACTGCCTCCTAGGCTCAAGCAATTCTCCTGCCTCAGCCTCCAAGAAGCTGGGACCTTACAGGTCCCGCCACACCCGGCTAATTTTTGTATTTTTAATACAGATGGGGTTTCACCATGTTAGCCAGGCTGGTTTCAAACTCCTGACCTCAGGTGACCCAACCGCCTCAGCCTCCCAAAGTGCTGGGATTACAGGCATGAGCCACCGTGCTCGGCCACAATCTCCATTTTATACAAAGTTCTAGAGAGCAGAAAAAGCAGGAGAGGTCCTAAACTTATTTTATGAAACTGATATAATGTTTAAACACAAAAACCAGGCAGAGACAGTATGAGAAATTAGAGGCCAATTAATAGATTTTGCTCAAGTAATATACCATACTGACTGATTAATAGAGAAAATAATGCAATAGGCTGGGCATGGTGGCTCATGCCTGTAACTTTAGCACTTTCAGAGACCAAGCAGGAGGATAACTTGAACCTAGGAGTTAGTGACCAGCCTGGGCAAATAGGAAGACCCTGTCTCTAAAAATAATAAAAGTAAAAATTAGCCAGGCATGGTGGCACACGCCTGTGGTCCCAGCTGTTTGGGAAGCTGAGGTAGAAAGACGGTTTGGGCCCAGAAGGTTGAGGATGCAGTGAGCCATAACCATTCCACTGCATTCCAGCCTGGGCGACAGAGTGAGACCCTGTCTCAAAAACAAAAAAACAAGCAAAAAGAATCCAACAGATACAGAAAAACCATTCAGAGACATTTAGCTCATCATTATTAAAAAAAACTTTCAAAAAGGTATCCTCCAACAACCCAAAGGAAACGTCCCACAATGATAAAATCTTAGAAACAGTTCCTTTAATGGCATTAAGATATACACAATTACTACTTCTATGAAACACAATACTTTTGCTTTTCAGTCACTGCAAAAAACATGGGGAAAATAAAAAGATATTAAGACTAGAAGAAAAGCCATAATTTGCAGATGATATGACTGCCTACAGATGAAGTATTAAAATTAGTAAGTGCTCTGTAAGATTGCTCATTACTAGATCAACATGAATGGTGTCTTCCCATGTACCAGCAAATAACAACTAGGAAATGAAAGTTTTAAAAATAGGTAGGGCGCAGTGGCTCACATCTGTAATCCCAACACTTTGGAAGGCTGAGGCAGGCAGATTGCTCAATTATAGTTTTATAATTGCACAGTTATGGTTTTCCATAGGCAGACTCAAAGTGGTTAAAATGACAATTCCCCAGAAAATAATCTAAAAATTTAATGTATTTTAACAAAAATTCTATCAGGATTTGCCTTGAAACTTAACCTATCTGCAGAATATTTCATTGTAAAAATGCTTCATTTATTATTTCATATTGTTGTACACTTAAGATTAATTACAGTTTTTGTGCTACTACAAATATAAACTTCAACGTCCTCAGTGCATACCCATCATTTTTTTTTTTTAGGATAAATTCCTATAAGAGGAATTGCTGAGTCAAAGGGCAGAAGCACTGTTAAGATTTTTGACTGGAATTCCCATGTTGTACACTCAAACATTTACTGAACGACTGACAATGTAGCACCTATTAAAATGATGGGTAAAAAAAATTCCCCAGGTTTACACAGCGTTTCTTTCATCACTTTTTTTTTTTTTTTTTTTCAGATTGGCCATTTGTTTTTTAATTTTATTGGTGGTTCTTTACTTTCTCCACCTGCAATGCACTGTGGTACCGTTTTCACATGGTTAGCCATCATTCTGAATATTTCATATCTTCTCAAATGATCTGCAGTATTATTTTATCACATACTAAAACGCTAAATATCAGGTAGTGGTCCTGTGTCTAGATTTTATTCTGTCTCACTTTTTTCTGTCTAGCTATTCCTATGTTAATAACATGCTGTTGTAAAAATTCTAGCGTTATTTTACTACCTCATAGGGAAATCCCTCAATTTCTTAGCTATTCTCAAGCATTTACTCCTTTTAAAATAAATTTAGAATTATTTTATCAAGCATTAAAATCTCAATTCTGATTAAAGTCATGTTGAAATTATATATGAGGAGAATTTATATTTTTATTATGTTGAGTCTTCCCTTCCTTATGCATATGTCCATTTATTTGCAGCTCACTGGAAAAAAGCATAAGAAAATCTGACCTCTATGGATGAAGGAAAGATCACAAAACATATTTATAAAGATTATAGCGGCCGGG